TGTTTAATCCTACTGATATAACTCCATATATGCATATTTTTGTATTTCATATTCCAGAATTTTTAAGGAAATTACAACATAAAGGATTAAATATGAGACAGTTTTCTACTTCAAGTATAGAAAAGAAAAATCATTTACATGTATGATTTAATTGTAACTTAATTGCTTGGCGTTAAATTACTAATTATTTATTTTTTTATTTTTAGGTGAAATTATTTTTTGGGGGGACAACTATGGGAGGAGGAAATAATAACAACAATCATTCCGTTTTACATGATATCATGTCGTTTGAAAATAGACAATTATACTACTTAATTAATGATACACCCCGATGTATTAAACAAAGAATCATCCGTTCAAATCCTTGATTTTTTATATAATTATAAAAAAATAAAAAAAAAATTATAAAATATTATACAACTAATATAAAATATCTTTTATTGTGAAAAATATGAAAGATTATCGAAAAATTTTATTCTATTGTTAGCTTTTATAAATGACATTTTAACAATATGAGAAATTTTATAACGTAAAATAAGAAAAACATATATACAAAATTAAATGTTAATTTCTAAATAAAAATTTGGTTCTATATTTTAAAAATGGAATTAATTTTAATAAAACAAATTATTATTAGCTTTAATTAAATAAAACGTACCATTATTTGAGTTATCACTCATAATACATTCTTCGCATTTCTTAAAAATGTTTGCATCAGTATCATCCTCTTGACTTTGAACAAAATAACCGGCAGAAATTGTAAAAGAAACCACCAATTTTGGACTATGTAAAATTAAAGGTTTTTTGCCATCACGAATTCTTGTTACTACAAAATCAGACCAAATAAAAGTTACATCCTTTTTCCGCTCTTCATTCTCCATAAACACATAAGCCTTTGTTCCGCTAACGTGATTTTTTTCTCCCCAATCTTTACAATCAAATAAGTATCCTAATCGGTTATATCCTGCTTCTCCTGTAAATACGCATTTATATTTTTTTAAATAAGGTATATAGGTGAAGCTTTCCTCATTAGAAAAAATTTTAACAAATAATTCTTCACTAAATGGTTCGCATGTCAATTGCCTGACTCCACTTTTGGAACGGTGATATGAAAGCTTTTTTTCAATTCTGACTAGCAAGGAACTCCAAAAACTTCGAACTTGAGTATCAGAAATACTATCAAGTAAAAGTTGTTGTATATGTGGAATGACGTGATTATTGGGATGTAGTTGTCTTTGGTGTAAAGAAAGTTTAGTTTTTGTATAGAGACGGGTTGAATTGTCAGTAAATTGACATAAAGAACACGTAGTTTTATTAAAAGAGCTTTTTTTATTCTTGGCGTTCATTGTTCTAAAGAATAAAAATTAGACCTGTTTCACAAATCACGGTAATTTTGATTTTCAAATAATTAGCCAATCATATCCAAATTTTGAGTGATCATAATAATCACGATTTTATCACATTGTTTTGCCATGTGACATTTGGTTTATGCGTCAGATTAGCCCATATGTCAGGCTATAAAATAATATGTGGTAAGTTACGTAATATTATTACAGTTTACCCTTCCTATAGCGAATTTTTATATAACGAATCACGTGACGCTTAGCCAATAAAATATGTCAATTTTCCCTCGCTATAACGAAGTAACCAATCAAATTCTTCAAATTCTTCGTTAACTTGCTATAACGAATTTGAGGTGCAGAACGGTTTCTTTGCTATATCAAGGGTAGACTGTATCATGTAATCACATGATTTAAATATTTACATTTCACATTTTTGTTTATCTTATTAAAACCTTTTCTTCATTTTCAATTTTTTTTTTTACTTAAAAAACAATTTTTTATCTATTTAATATATACAGAAATACATATTTTTATATATTTTTTTTATTTGTTATATCTAGAAATGCATAAAAAGGTATATATTACCAATATTTCTTTTCTTTATTAATGTTTTTCTACCAATTTTTTTCGTTTCTTTCTTTCCTTTTACTAATACTTCTACTAATATATTTTCTATTATTTTTTTCTACTATATTAATATTTCTACTATTTAATATTTTCTATTAATATTATATTACTACTGATATACGTTCTCTTTCTACTAACATTTTTTATTCTAATAACTTTTTCTTTCTGCTAATGTTTCTACTAATATTTTCTATATTTATATATCTATACTAATATTTTTTAATAACATTCTCTTTTCTCTTACTAATATATTTATCATTAATGCTTCTTTTAAATAATCAAACAGGTATAAGCAAACAAGTGATTTTATTTTTATGCTACTTTTAGTAAAAGTTATATATTATATATATTTATTCAAATATTCAAGTATAATTAGTATAATTGTTTTTTTTAATTAAAAAGTGTAAATAAATTTAAATTGTAATAAAGTTTTGAATTAAAATTAAAAAAAAAAATACAAATTATAATTGCATTTTATAATTTTTTTGCCTGAATTAAATTATAAATCTACTAGTATTAATACGAAATCATTATCCTATATCTATCCGTCTGATATCTGTATGATATCTGTATGATATCTATATGATATATATCATAATATATCGGGTACCCAATAAGTCTATGATATGTGACTGATATTTAACTATCCGATATGTGTAAAATGTACTGTATATGTGATATTTACATGATGTGTCACTGTTTTTCTACATTTCTACTACACATATCAGGTACCTGATATGTGTAGCATTGTTAAATATCATACACATATATCACATATATTGTACATATATCAGGTACCTGATAGGTATCCGATAGTATTAATTTTGACCAGTGGACAGACTAAAGATGTTAGCCGTAATTTAAAAAAGTGTCGTAATACAAAATTTTTATATGCCGTAATTAATTAAGGCTATAAAAATCTTATAGCTGTAATTCAAAATTTTTTAAAAAATAATTAAGGCTAACATCTTTAAGACAGACATCCCTAAAGGCATGATTGAGTAAATCTAGTATTTCTTTACACGTAAGTTTAGGGTTAATGTTATTGTACACCTCTTATGGCAAATCAAAGTCTATAACAGGACGGAGTGGCTCATTTCCATCAATAATTTTGTGTAAAGAATGGCCTTCACGTTTTGAGAGTATGGCTTCTATTTCATCTTCGTTATCTGCACCTAGAAAATGCCTTGATTTAACACTATCATCACGAATTTTATATAAAGATTTACCTATATTGGAGGCTTTAAACCCACAATAGTACAGGGTGGAGGGCGCGTCGAGGAACTCTGAAAGCTTGGATTGTTCAGTCATTTTTTTTCTCAAGCAATTTACGATAATTTATAGTTATACCAAATTTCAAGGTATATTATTCGCAAAAAAAAGTTTAAAATGAAATTAATTATCTGAGATTATTAATCGATATACATAAATGGAAGGCGGAAAAAAGGTGACACCCTGAAATTTTTATTATTGTCCATATATTCTTAAGATTGGCGAAGTGTGTAATCGGAGATGCTATAATCCAAAAGGATGTAAAGTCCATCGAGATTCTAGGCAAGTTGCTTGCAAAGAAAGCGGATATAAAGAGATGACAAGATCCAAATATGACTATTATGATACGCATGCAAAAAAATATAGATCAAAAGAACATTACTATCAGAAAAAGCTGGCTAAGCAAGCTGATGGTCCCAAAGAGATTCCACTCAAGTAATTTTAGGCTAATCGAAAGAACTTAAACAAGAATAAAAAGTTGTCACTATCCCTATGGCCTTTTAGACGAACTCAATTCACTAAAATTTCTTGATGACGCTCTTGGTGACGCTCTTGGTGACAAAATTTATAGCTATTTCGTATTTTTAGAGCCATCAAAAGGTTTCTAGATGAATGTCACCATGCCACTAAAAGTCACTAAGAAAATTGGACTACTTTACTTTTTATTTTTTTTTATCTATAGGTATAATAAAAATATAGCATACATATAACATATATATATATATATAGCATATCGATAGATATACCATACTGATACTCATAGAAAATTTGATTTTTTTCCTAAAACTTTACTTTTTCTTAGTAACTCTTAGTGACATAGTGACAGATATAAAGGAAGACAACTGAACGTTCCCAAACTTCAAAAAAAGTATACAGGGGTGTCACTAAGAGTATCACTAAGAGCGTCACTAACAAATTTTCTTGGTGACGGCATACATATAAGATGGATTCGATATTTTTTTTTTTTAACTTTACTTTTACTAGGGGTATTAAGAAGCCCAAAAATGATATCAAGATTATTCCTAAGAGCGTCCTCAAGAAGGGATAGAAAATTTTTATAGGGACGATAAAAAAACTTAACAAAGTACTTTTGGTACCTTCTTTGACGATTTTTTATAGGATAAGATGTGATATATTTATATTTGCATTTCAAATTCTCTGACCCATGGGTCAGTGAAAGTCACGTGACTGTACAGTAAGATGCAGTACCGGCCAGCATTATTTCACAATTTTGGCCAGATACTTGAATATAACAACTCAGCATCCAAGCTAGCAAACTACCAGTTCCATGACAGTTCCATAACAGTTCCATGATAGCTACTAGGTAAATACCATGGTGCCAGACTGGATTCTCAAATTACATACCCAAAAAATCGGCCAGAATTATGACATAGTGTCCAGCTAAAATTAATCACAGATCTAGATCAAATTACTGCGCCATCTGATACCTTTTTTTTTACTCTATTTCAGTATCTAGAAAGGCAACCAAATAGGCGCAAAGGGTAAATACTCCAATATAGAATCCAGCACCTAATCAGGCGCAGAAGCTTATCACCTCGACATAAAAAGGACTGGGAAAACCTATAATGGAGGTCACTGTAGTACCTGGCACACTAGTAAAATCCATTGAATTTTTTATATATACAATTTTTAATGAAGCCAAAATGTGTGGATTAAACTTATCTGTTTAAGTTTAGAGTTAANCTGGACATACAGTCAACCCTTGTTATAACGAACCCTAGGTTCCAGACAGGACCGGGAAAACCTATAATGGAGGTCACTGTAGTACCCGGCACACTAGTAAAATCCATTGAATTTTTTATATATACAATTTTTAATGAAGCCAAAATGTGTGGATTAAACTTATCTGTTTAAGTTTAGAGTTAAATGCATGATTTATACATTCAATTTAGATTTTTATATATTCTGTGTAATACAAAAAGGTGGTTCGCATAATTAGTAAATTTTTTAAAAAGTGGTTCGCGTTATTATAAAATTTTTTTCAGAAAATTTAATAATCTCAGTTAATATTGATATTAAAAGAATAATTTATGATTCATTTTATTTTTCAGACATTTCTGTATGATTTGTTAGATTTTTAGTTTAATTACTTAAGAAAAATTTTTATTAATTTGGGCAAAACCATCATTTTACTATTGTCCGGTGACCTTTATTATAAGTTTTTCCGGTCCTACATAAAACTAGTAGGTATTCAAACAGCTACAAAAGGTCGACAATAGCATTATAAAATTTAGCATGTAAACGATTCAAAAACAAGAAGAAAAGCGTGATATTTAGATTATATATGTGTGTGGTAATTATGGTAATAAAAGTATATTAACATAAAAAACACAAATATCAAGAAAGACTTAAAGACATAACTAGAATGTAAAAATGGTATAAGAAATAATAAAATGTTAGATTATATGTGGTATTTAGACCATATTATTTAGATTATATGTGGTAATTAGATCACATCATTTAGATTATATGTGACATTCAGATTATATGTGATATTTAGATCATATGCGATATTCAGATTATATGTGATATTTTAGATTACATGCGGTATTTAGATTATATGTGATATTTAGATTACATGTGGTACTATAATCTAGAGTAAGTAGGATACCATATGTGATATAATTATATCACATGTAGTATCCCACTGATATGACTAATGACTTTGTATAAAAAAAGCATATGACCCATGATTAACCAATAATATTTACACTAATTACGTATGACATAAATAATTATATATTTACGTATTTTTCAAAAAGGAAATAAAATTTGTGCACACCCGCACATGGTAATTTTTATATAGTAAATTTGTCGATCATTATTTATCACGTGACTTTAGTAAAATCCTGATTTTTTTTAAATATTCATGCCGCAACTCTTACGTACATATTATTGAGCCTTAATAATTTATTTATTATGCGTATTTTTGCCTATTCTACAACTTTACTTAATGAGCCATGAAGGGTTTAGAATGTCATTTTTGACTTTTATATATAATATATCCATGAGGGTGCACATATGCGTAGATGCACACAAATTTTAAACTCTTTCAAAAAATCTGGTAATTAATTACCAGGATTACGAATTATGTATTTATACGAAAATAGGAAATTACCAGGCCATGTATAAAAATAATATGATAAGCCAAATACTGGTGAAATCATCTGAGTGATAATTATCATCTTGTGTGATTTTCATCTAGAATGCAAATTAGCAAACTTTTATAATTAATATATAAATTTGATTAAAATTATATTTAAATATTTTATTAAACTATAATTCTATTAATATTGATTATAAAAAGATGATTTTACTATAATTTAATTCATTCTAATGAATTAATTTAAATAATACTGAAATTATTAAAATCTAATTATTAAATATATAAATATATATATGTTTTTGGTTAAAAAATTATTAAACTACTACTATATATAGTTAACATATATTATTTTTTAGAAAATTAATATAGTAATTGTTAAATATAAACTCTTGGTACTATAATTAATATTTATACAATTTGCAAAATTAGATATAAAATTACAAATTTTTTTAAAAGAAATAAATAATATATTTAAAATATAAATATAAATAAATTGTTAAATATAAACTTTTAATACTATATAAATATAATTAAAGTAAAAACTATTAGTAAATTTATTATAAGTAGTTTGAAAGTTATTTTATATAAATGCAATATTATATTTGAACTGCATTTTTCAATTTTTATCAAATTTAGGCTGGCATTATAAAATTGGCCAGAATTAAGCAAAATTCGACCAGAATTATGGATTCGAAAATCATCAATTTTAACCAATAAAATTTGGTTTGGCCAATTTAATATGGCTATTATTACCAATATAAATATAAAATTATAATTTTTTTTTTTTAAAAGGTTTTTATAATCATCACCATTGGTCAGGATTATCAATTTTTACTGGCACTATATTTTTTTAATGCTAATCTATTGTCATAATTTTAGTTACCGGTGATCATCACCCCTGGTGATAGTTAAAAAAATTCTTTTTTTAAATATAACAAATAGTTTTTATTTAATACTTTTATCAATAATAATATATATAATTATTTTTTATAATTAATTAAATAGCAAATCAGACTATAAAATTACATAATTTTTAATATATTTGTTTTTTTTTAAAAAAAAAAAAACTTGATAAAATATATAATAAAAATACAAATATTAATTTTTAAAATCTACTAATATCTCTTCCAAATAACCATGTTAAAATCCAATACATAGGACTAAAAAAAATGCAAAAATCAAATTAATTCCTTAAAATATTATTACTAAAATTATTTTTTATACTTACATTAGCATTTTATTTCTCAATGAAACTGTCATTGTAAAATATGCAGATCTCCAAAATATCCATGCTAATCTACCACTTTCTTTAGCTTTGTTGCTTACAGGTGTCATATCAACAACAGCTGACAAAAATGATATAATTAAATAGAAAGAAATATATAAAAAAAAATCAATTAAAAAATACAATTATCTTACCCTCCTTCTTTCCAATATATGCCATACTTCCAAGATTAAGAAATTTGAAAGGTTTTATATCCATTATTGGATTATCTTTAGCAATTTGAGTTAAAACTATAAATATAATTTCATAAAAAATAAAATCAATTAAATATAAAATATTTAATAATAGTTAATAAATTAAATATATATTATTATTATACCTTTTCTCAAATATACAGCTTTTTGATTAGCTACTTGAGCTGTAGCAGGAAGATCATAATCTTGAATTGATGCACAATCACCTAAAGCATAACTAATTGTATAAAAAATTGATTAAAGTTTTTTCTGCAAAAAAAGTATAAAATTAAAATAAAATATTATGTAATAAGAATAGAATTTAACTTTACACATTATCTATAGGTTGAAAAGACTCTTTGTCTAAAACCCTTAAAAAACCGTCAGTTAATAGTCTAATAGATAATTAAATTATTAATTAAATTTAACAAAAAAAGTCATTATAGGTAAGATTTCAATATAAAGATTAAATATTACCTTTTTGCCGACTTGTCTTTCACAACTTGATTACCCATTGACCGTGTTAATGGATTATCGGTTAACCCTATAACCAATTAACAAATTAATTACTATACATGCAAAATATTTTAACATATTAGCTAAGATATCATACCAGTTGCCCAAACTAACATGCCATATGGCACTTCTCCATCTTCTTCAATTATAAGTTTACGTTCATTTACTTCTTTTACTTTACGTCCTGTTCTGATTTTGATTCCTTTTCTTGTAAATTTTTTAGTAGCAAATTCTCTAAGAGATTGATCAAAGGAACCAAGAATTTGAGGCGCTATGTCATACACGCTCATTGTGACTAAATTAATCAAATCCGGATATAAACGAGCCATGTCTTCTGTAATAAAGTCATGCCTATTCATACAAGTTATTAGTAGAGAAGTGTAATTATTAAAAGTATCTCATAAATAAATGATAAATTTACTTACAGCTCAGCACTGAATTCGATACCCTTAAATGGAAAAAATTTTCAATATATTTATCGAGTACTTTCCTAATAAAAAGGCATCTGTGATAATACTTACAGTAGGACCTCCACCAACAACAGCGAAATGAAGTAATCCAAATGCTTCTTGTTCTGTGATGTTTGGTTGACCCGCATGTTCAAAACATTCAATCACTCTTTGACGTATTCTGCGAGCATCAGATACATCTTTTAAAAATAATGCATTTTCTCCAACTCCCTTAATGCCGAAGGTATTAGAATTTGCTCCAGCGGCTATAACCAAAGTATCATAATTAAGAGAGAATTTGTTTTTACTGCGTTCAAGATTAGAGGTACAATAAACTATCTTCTGTTTAAGGTCTACATATCAATAAATTAGATAAGTTAGTGAGAAATAACTAAATGATGAGAAATGTTGAAATATTTATTTACCTATGGTATCTGCATAAGCCTGATAAAATTGGATTTTAGGAGAATACTTCCTTATAGGTTCCAATATACACCTGAACTCCAAAGTGCCTACAGATGATGATGCAAGTAACGGAGTACTATATGTGCAAATATATATGTATTTAGTTGGGAATAAAAGTCCAAATAGAAAAATACAGTTTGTAACATGAATATGTATATACTAGAAATTATTTACAAGACAAAATAGTTCCTAGTTAAATCATAAAGAATAAAGAATGAATCAGTAAAAAAATACAATCATGATAAATTGCGCATATTATTTTTATATATTACCTTGGAGAGACAACAATAACTTCATAATGTTTAGTATCCATATCCTGTATCAATTTATATCCTAACAAAAGACAAATGATCAAATTAATCTTTATTCAGTAACATGCATCTAACTTTAGCATTAAAAAATTTACCTGCCCATCCAGATCCTCATATTTGAAAAAAAAATTTCAAATAATTGCAAAATAAATTTTATTTAAAAAAAATTCAAATTAAGTTTCAAACATGAAAAATATTTAATGAAATTATCAATGATACCTAGTATAACCAATCTCCCTAATAAAAAAAAAAGGAAATTGGTGAAACCGATTACATAAAATTAAAACTGATCGACGAATCTATTTTTAAATATAAATCAATTTACCTTGTGTTTTTCCCAACGAAGCAACATTTCTTTTGGCAAACGGTGATTGGATGGATTGGATCGAAGACGATTTAGTAGACACGGTTAATAAACTGAACTTTTTACTAAAAGTAGTATCTTGGTGAAAACTTCTACGAACATTATTATAAGTCTGTGATAAAACCTCGCGTGTTAATAAGGTTCGACTACCTATTTGTATTAGAAACAACAAATTAATATAAATGGATTTAATAATAATTTTAGCACAGATTTACTCACAGGTCGACAACATTCGCGTTGGTATTATAAAAATCATTGATTTACAATTCTAAGAAAAAATACCAAGTTTTTCTCGACCTACTGTACTTTAAATAAGTTTTTGTAAAAAAGTTTCAAAGTTACACCGTGCAGCTTTATTTAACAATTTATATAGAGTTATTTTTTTCGTTCTCACAATAGAATCATATCCGACAAGTTCCGTGGAGATAAAGTAAAATTTAAAGTTTAAATTTCTATTCGTTGTAATTCAAAATTTATATTTAGAAATCATTTATGTCATTTATGCGTTTAAAATTCATATCGGAATTTTCAGGAAACTATATTTGATCAAATGACCGAATTTTTCCGTTATAATATTTAAATCTATCATTTACATATGGATATTACAAAAAAAATTGTCCAACCAAAAGAAACTAATAATAATTTAATGAATTCATAATACCAAAAAGGTAAAGTATATAGTTTATAGAAAGAATTTAATTCAAAAAAAAACCAAAAAAAAAACGGACCTGCCTAAATATTATTTTTACATTATTGATCATCTGATAAACATTCATCGCTTTCAGATTCATCATCCTCATCATCCTCATCATCTTCATTATCTACAGATTGAACCTTTACTGTTGGTTCGTTTGCCTCGTTAGCTTTAAATAATTCATATCCCTTCTTTAGTATATCTAAAACTGGATCCTGCCGAGCTTTGAGAATTTCTAAAACTAGATCCTGAGTAGATGATGTCTTTTCTTTAACTGTTGGCTTCTCTACTTGCACCGGTATTTGGTTTTGAACAGAATTTGACTCTATAATTGGTTCATCCATATTCTTATTATCATTCTCTTCGCTCTTTTCAGGTATCTTTTCGTTAGTTTCGTTTTTTAAAATTTCTTTCTCTGATTTAATATAAGAATGAATATCTCTAATTACATCATCTACAATAGACTTCAATAAACCTATCTTATTTTTAATTAATGCAAAGATTTCCCGAACTCTTAACGAAGCATTATTCTTATTTTCATTTAATTCTTGAGCAATATTATTGGCTGTCATTTCAATCTCAGCCTTTAATTTATCATCTACTTCTTTATTGTCAGCTTGATCGTAAATATTATTTTTAGTTGTAAAAATTTGAGAAACAAGATTAATACTAAACTCTTTTTTCAATTCATCAAATTTTTCCTCCTCTAGTATATCTAATGATTTTTCCGAAATTTCGATCAATTCTCTAATATTATCTACTAATTTCTTCGCCGAATCTTTTATTTCGTTAAATTTTGCTTTACGGTCTTTTGTGCTATCCTTCTTGATTTGTTCTACGAATTTTTTTAAATTTACCAGATCTTCGGGTCCAGATTTTTTTAAAGATACGATTCTATCTTCAATCTCACGTAAAGTTTCTTGTGCCATGGATGTAGCTTTCCTTTCATAATCATCGAGAGCTAAAGTAAGATTTTTTTTGACGAGAGGAAATTCTTTATTGAGAGCATTACGGACAGCCTTATTAGCAGCTGCAATGGCCACTGTTTCAGCCTTGATAGCTTCATCCTTGGCTTTCTTTTCCGCTTCAGCCTTCTTCCTATCGGTCTCTTCTTTGACTTTCTTTTCCTCTTCGGCCTTTTTCCTATCGGCCTCTTCTTTGGCTTTCTTTTCCTCTTCGGCCTTCTTCCTATCGGCCTCTTCTTTGGCTTTCTTTTCCGCTTCTGCCTTAGCCTTCTTATCGGCCTCTTCTTTGGCTTTCTTTTCCGCTTCTGCCTTAGCCTTCCTATTGGCCTCTTCTTTGGCTTTCCTTTCCGCTTCTGCCTTAGCCTTCCTATTAGCCTCTTCTTTGACTTTCCTTTCCGCTTCTGCCTTAGCCTTCCTATTAGCCTCTTCTTTGGCTTTCCTTTCCGCTTCAGTCTTGGTCTCTTTTTCAGTCTTAGGTTTTAAAAAAAGCTCCAAAATATGTGGTTCAACATGATTATGGTAAGCGGGAATAATTTTTTCGTGATAGGTGTTTTTAATAATCTCCAAGATATGATAAACAAAAGGTACCATTTTTGTATCATAATAAATAATAACTTTATCTTTAAAAGGAACAACCGATTTGTGATACCAAGGGCGAACCGTATTTTTGTTATACTCTGAAGCTTGTTCATAGACATAAGACACATGCTCTTGAGCTTGACTAACATATGGAGCGGATAATTTCACTGCTTGACTATAATAGTTATCCACATGCACTTTAGCGTTATCATTATAATACTCTTGTACTTTGGTTAGTCCTTCTGCAACTGGATTATATACATATTCGACAGACACTTCTCTTGCAGTCTGCAAATGAGGCTGAGCAGATTCAAGCAAAGGGTTGACATATTGTTTAGCATGAGCTTCATATTGAATAGAAACTGTATTCAAAGCCTGTTTGCCATATACATCAACATTTTGTTTAACCACAGTTATTGCTGGTTCAATGAACTTGTGAAAAAAATCATTATTTAAAATATGTTGAGAGATTCCGTTAAAACAAAACGCTTCCTCATACGAATTGCATTGTTTTTGAGTTTTTCCGTTGCACCAGAAAAAGACAGTAAGGATATAAAAGAGGATAAGCCTCTTAATCGAGAATAGGCTAAAAAAACAAGCCTTCTTTGGTTTCTTCGTCTAAAAAATAGGTTTGAATTAATATATGCAGAGATATCAATTATTGTAATTATATTATTAATTAGTTTTTGTCACATACAATTTTTGATTTTGTCTTTTCCTTTTTGTTATTCTTCTGTTGATATTAATAGTAATATAATGTTTCAATAATTCATATAAAATTTACAAAAATTAGCATTGAACGCATAACAAACCTTATCATTGAAATCGCTCTTTTGTGTTATTGTTTCGGGTATAGTTTGTTCGTTTGACTTCTCATTCTCAGTAATTAAATTTTCTACAGTAACATTTTGTTTCTCAGTATTCTCAGTAGAAATACCATTTACAATTGGGGATTTATTCCCACTTGGGGATGGTACTTCTTGTTGAGTAACTTGCTGATTTTTCTTTTTCTTTTCACTTTTTTTCCCCATTTTAATGTAGATAGTTTAATTTTTAAATTGGTGTTAGAAAATAAACGAGAGTAAAATTATTTTAAGATAAGAAATTGATCGAACAGTTTATTGACACGTTTAGCGTCAGTCGTCAGATAACCTCCATATGGTAAGCACATGTATCAGCGTTTCAGGTTGTCCCAGCGCATAAAATTATATTAAAATTTTCCTTAAGCATGCAAATCATACTTCATGGATCTTTCCCTTAAACACATGTTATAGTAGATCTTCAATAATAATAAATCACAAACATATTAAATATACAATATACATAATATACATAAAAAGTATAGCAAAATTTCACAACCCAAATATTATGTGATTATCACGTGATATGCCATTTACTGTTTAACAATAAATAAGTATTATGATAAAATCCGAAATACCAATTAGCAAAATAAATCTACATTAGAATCGTTTCATTAGTAGAAATTTATTAGTAACTGATAATTTCATAGTGATTGGAGTAATATTAACAAAATTATTTTTTTTTTTTAGGCTAAGTAGCAAGATCGCTACGAGTTTTATTAGAAATCACATAATTGAGCAATTCTAACTAGATCCAATGTAAACCCTGTCTCTTATACACATCTAGATGTGTATAAGAGACAGCTATTACATTTATTATTTAACTAATTAATGTTATTTTTTTTCAAATTATGACATGCAAAATGTGATGTAAAATATTAGGTATCTAAACTATTACTGTTTTGCCGATTTCCTTTTAGATGGTGATCTTCTAGAGGATTTTCATCAGATGGTGAATATTTCTGTACTTTCTGTGATACTTCTTGCAACTTTAAATAGTAATCCATAATTCAATTCTATAATGTCAAATATAAATGATAAAACAAGACAAAATCTGATATTAATTTATTTAATTAAATCAGTAACTGACACAATACAAATTAATCAATTAACTAACCAGTTTTGCCAAACAATTGAGCTAATACACTTTTAACTGTTTTCTCATCATAGGAGTCTGATGTAACATGTGTTAGATGGTACTGACATTGATAAAATATTAAAATTTGCATTGCTATAAAATAATGGATTTCATAAACTTTCTGCATAAGGTTTTTAAGATAAAAATATCTGAAAATTACAAACCTTTAAACAATTTTTTCATATCACCATGATCCTCAGCCATTGCATTTCTTACAACTTCTAAAAATCTGATCCATATTGTTTATGTTTATATAAATTTTTAGAATTCTATTATACTTTATCCCAGAATTTATCCAAGAATTTTGGCCTTTTATTTTATTTCAGTACTCCCTCTTTTTGTCACTATAAACAGGTGAAGGGAGTAGCAATGGCTTTCCCCCTATAGGTATTAATTGGCATCTACTTGTTTACAGAGGAGAGGCTTTTCGTAAAGTATTAAAATCAATAGATATATATATGTGTGTGTATATGAGTATATATATCTAAAAATATTTTTTCGGGGGAAAGCATCCTATTTATATTAAGTTATGTATCACTTGTATCACGTGATATCAAATTAATAATTTTCCGCAGCTTCAGCTGCGCCTGCTGCGGTATAGCGAAAAAAAATTAAGCTTTTTACATAGCAAAAGTTTAATTTTTTCTCTCACGGTCTTCAATTTCTTTCGCTTCCCCTCAATTTCACCCTTACCGGAATCTTTCAAAAAACGAAATGGTATGTTTTTTCGCTTCGAAACTTTATAAAATTAATTTTTTTTAAAAATTTCTTTTAGGAAACGTAACTAACATTTTCTATATATATATATTTTTTTTTTTTTGTAGGGCTTTTCGGCGAGTTCGACCTTGAATTTGGAAACGGTAAGTTCCGAAGAGTTTCGCTTCGAAACTTTTAAAATTAATTTTTTATTAATTTTTTATTAGGAAACGTTTCCTTTAATTTTTTTTTTTTGTAGGTCGGAGAGTTTGAATTCGGAAGCTTTGAATTCGGAAGCTTTGAAATGGTGAGTTTCGTAGTGTTACGAAACTTGGATTTATTTTTTTAATTATTTTATTAGGAAACGTTTGCTAACGCTTCCTTTTCTTTTTTATAGGTTCGGGATGTCTGTTTCGCCCTCCTTCATTCAAAAGTCCAAGTTCAAGACTAATATTTGTGAAATAACTACAATCTTCTTCCCTGCGAGAAGTTGATCGTTGTAAGTAAGTTTCGTTTCGTTACGAAGCTTATAATATTTATTTTAGAAAAATTTTCTTTTATTAGGAAACGTTTACTAACGTTTCCTTTCTTTTTTGTAGGGTCCGTTTCTGGGAATTTAGAAATTCGGAAAACGGTAAGTTTCGTACGTTTCGTCACGAAAACTTCCGTTTTTTTCTTTTTCTTTCTCTAAGAAACGTTCTAACTGAACGTTACTTTTCTAGGCAGTTCTGTGGACTTCCTTTGCACGTGGCATTTTGGTAAGTTTACATTGTTTTCTTTATTTATTTTAACGAAACGTTACTAATGTTTGTTATTTTCTTTCTTTTTTTTTAGGCGACTGGTACTTTGGATCTTGGATTCGGTACGTTTTTAATATCTTAGATTTCATATTTTAACGAAACTTTACTTACTGTACTTTTGCTTATTTTTTTTTCTTTTTTTTTAGGTGATCGGTTCTTTGGAAAATTTCCCTCAAACCCTGGAAGGATTCAAGGACATTCTCACGTAAAAATCCAAAAACTCAACGGAAAAGGTGTTTCCGATCCAAGAGTTTTTGTTTTTTTCGAAGGTTCTTAGACACGTTGGATTTTGGTGAGTTTTCAACATGAATTTTGTATTTAACGAAACTTTACTTACGTTTCGTTATTTTTTTTTTTCTTTTTTTTAGGTGACTGGTAGGCAGTTCATTTTCGGTAAGTTTTTTTTTCTCTATTTTACTAGTTTATTAATTCTAACGAAACAAATGTTAACGTTTTGATTTTATCTATTTTTTTTTAGACGGGACACATGGATTTCGGATTTCAGATTTGGTAAGGGAATCGGAATATATTTTTTTTCGAATTTAGTTTCTTTAACGAAATGTTGTTTTCTTCTTTTTATATAGACGGTTGGGAGAGTTACTTTTGATACGGGATTCTGCAAGTAAAATTAAGATTCTTTCTTTATTTTTTTTTCAATGAACTTACTAACAGTTCATTTTTTCTTCTTTTTAGGCAACTTGCTCATCAGATCTCTTTGATCCTTTTTTTGTACGTGTAAGTTTCCCATTTTCAGTTTCTCCTACATTTTTATTTAATTTAACGAACTGTTACTAACAGTTCTTTTTTTTTTTCTTTCTTTTTTAGGTGGTTGGTTTTTCGGTTTTTTTGGACGCGGATTTAGGTGAGTTTTTTTCTTCAAATTGTTTTATAATGAAACGGTTACTAAAGTTTCATTTTTTTCTCTTTTAGACTCGAATCTCTTGAACCTCACTTGATCTTTCCGAAGAAAAAGCCTACAATTTTAGTAGAACAATTATTGAATGATCTTTACGTTACATTTGTTGCAGAATACTGGGAAGAAAATACTCCAAGTCTCGAGACTTTTTTGAGGTGTCGTAGAAAGACGTGTCCAGATGAGCAACTTAAGAAAGATACTGAGCATTTGAATTACGCTAAAGACCTTGAACAATCTGCAAATTTTATATACAAAAACGCTTGATGATTATAAGGTGATATAATTTATTTATTTATTTTGTTTTTTGATGAAGGCAGAGCCAAAGATACATCTTCAACTACTGTTGCGGGTTACGTACTTGCAATGGGAATGGTTCTAAACTCTGTTGACGAGCATATGATCCTGAACGGGGCGGTTGCATTCTCCTCTGGGGGAGTCTACACGGCTCAATGTCTACACTTCAGCTCCGTCCTGGGTCCCAGAGCTAGTGTTGTGTTTAATCATCACCTTCGTCTTTTCCTAAGATTCTTACAAGTTGTATTTATAATATTGTTATTATTATTAAATTCGTATAATTCTTATTCTTTGGGAATATATATATATATATATATAAACATTCGTATGAAACGAAATCAGATTCTGTCAAAATATTCTGGGAAGAGCAGACTGAATTACATCGGATCAGGATTCTAGAGGTTGTTCTCTATTCAAGTTGCATTAAAACACATAATAAGTTATTTACAGTAACTGCTTTTATTAGTTGCAAGTTGCCAGTAATATACTGAAGCTTGGAAATAATCATCTCATGAAAAGTGCTGTTATTTCCCAAGAACTGCAGTTGGGTATCCTCAGTAATAGAGTTAAAACTATGTCAAAAAAGGAAGAAGAAAGTGAACTTGTAGGTCTTTTAGTTATTTTCAATTATACAATTAAAAGATCCCTCTTTTTAATCATAAGTATATTGTTCTAATGATTTAGGAGGGAGAACCTTCTCTTTTTTAACACATTTAGAAAGTAAAAGACCAGCCGAAGAATACTCTCCTGTAACCATTCTTCCTCCCAATCTCTGGATTGCACTCCTGTTCAACGTTCTTGTGTACAAATTCAGTCAGATGACAATTTTTTTGATGACGATTTTTTTGAAAAATAGGAAGAAGTCAATGAAAATGAGGAGTCATTAACCAAAGTTCAACTCTTTATTTCAAAGATGGAAAATGTGAACTGTAAATATCATATCATCAACCTCTTTGAAAAAAATTTAGTTAAGAAAATTCTGGGAGGAAGTATGTATTATATTAACTATCACATCAGTTTAGATTAATAATTTTTCATTTCTTTCAGATGAAACCATCTGCCAAAGAAAAACAGAATATGGTATGTTGATCAAAATGGGAAGAAAGCATTAAACTTCTGGTTGATAAGTTATGCACTTGCCCTTGAAGTAAAGGTGGAATCTGTTTTTGATGATAATGTTCAAACATCATCAATAAAGGTTATTTTCAAAGATGAATTTGATTTCAAAAAACATTATGAAAATTTATGGTGCAAGATATCTATTGGCAATTGTAAGCATACTGTATATCTTATTACTTGTATAATTTAACACAATCCATTTAATTTTCATATTTCATTTTAGTATATGCTTGTTCAACTTTTCTTTTAACATTCTTCATAATGCGAATACATTGGAGATTACTTATAGGAAACATTTGTTAATCCTCTAATTCTGAAAGCATTTGATGATTTAAATGATAAAATTAGATTCCAAATGTATGTTATTATATTGTATATCATATTTGGTTTTATTTGTATCATATATGATAAATTTGATTTATTATTTATTCCAGTAGAGAAATAGAGAGCAAATTATGTAAAAGGTAATGAAATGAAATAAAAGGCCAAAATCATCAGGTAAATTTCAGGATGAAGCGCAATTGATATGAAGATCAAATTTTTAGAAGTTGTAGGAAATGCAATGGTTGAGAATATTACTGGATATTATGGTGATATGGAGAAATTGTTTAAAGGTTTGTAATTTTCAGATATTCTTAAGATCTTATGTGGAAATCTCATGAAATCTATTATTTTTGTAGCTATGCAAATATTAATATTTTATCAATGTCAGCATCATTTAACATGTGATGTATCAGAAGATCAACTTCTATGCATTCAAAGTTTTGGTTTACTTGTTTACTGTATGTAATATTTGTATTGTATTAGTTACTGATTTAATTAAATAAATTAATATGATCCAGTGCAAAAAGATTTGTACATCAAAAAAAATGTCAATAAAAAATTTTTTAATAAATTAAATTTCATTTTTTTTTAAATAAATCTTATTAGTATATATTCAGAAATAGTATAATATCATTATTACACCAAATTGTGTATCACCATTGGATTCACTATAATTATTAGATTCTTTATTAATTAATTGGACATTTTCGTTAGCCTCAAAATATACTAAAATATGCCTTGGTATTTTAAGCACTTTTTTCTAAAATTCATTATAATCTTTTAAGTTAATTTCATTTTTTAATGCATTTAAAAGTATATTTCAAACAGGCAATAATTTAGGATCTTACAATTTCACCTTTTACAACTGCTTAAACACCTTCAATTGGCTGTAGTAAAGTTCTACACGGGTCAGGTCAGGTCGGGGACCCTATCTGACCCATTTGACCTAAAAGTATTCAGATCACTTCGGGTAACTCAGGTTACCAAAATTTTATTATTAAATATTGTAAAAAACATTTTGTAACATTTTTTACTTTTTGTTTTATATATGTTGTATGTGGTTTCTGAATACCGGTGGAAATCGGATCTTGGCCAGCATTACGAAATCATAGTCCGGCACTATGCTTTAATTCTGGCCCAACATCCCGTATCCACATATGTGGATTCGGAATCCACATAGATTCCGTTTTCACCTACAACATATATAAAACGCTGAAACTATTTGTTTCAGCATTTTTCCTTTTGATTTTATATGTAAAAATGCCAAAACTGATAGTTTCAGCATTTTTTTTAATTTTACATGCAAAACTAATAGTTTTAGCATTTTTTTCAATTTTACATGTAAAAGTATCAGAATAATTAGTTCTGGCATTTTTTTTTGATTTTACATGTAAAAACGCTGAAACTGAGTTTTGGCATTTTTTTTCAATTTTATATATAAAAGCGCCAGAATAATTAGTTCTGGTGTTTTCTTTTGATTTTATATGTAAAAATGCTGAAACTGATGGTTTTGGCATTTTTTTTGATTTTACATGTAAAAGCACTAGAATTATTAATTCTGGCATTTTTCTTTTTGATTTTATATATAAAAATGCTAAAATTATTAGTTTTGGCATTTTTTTCAATTTTACATGTAAAAATGCTGGAATCATTGGTTCTGGCATGTTTCTTTTAATTTTATATGTAAAAACGCTGAAACTGATAGTTTTAGCATTTTTTTTTGATTTTACATGTAAAAACGCCAGAATCATTATAAGTTTCAGCGTTATTTAATTTATTTAACCCAAATATATGTCAGGTCAACGGGTTGGGTTAGGTACCAATCAGTACTAACCTGACCGAATTCCTGACCTGAATATTTCGGGTTAACCTATCTAAAGATGTTAGCCTTAATTATTTTTTAAAAAATTTTGAATTACGGCTATAAGATTTTTATAGCCTTAATTAATTACGGTATATAAAAATTTTGTATTACGACACTTTTTTGAATTATGGCTAACATCTTTAAACCTATCAGGTTACCCGATCTGTCGGGTCAGATTGTGAAACTCTAAGCTGTAGTTCATAGTAATAGATGACATATAAAAACTTCATGATCATATTGTTTTGCTATTTTAATGCAAGAAAATGGTACCATTTTCTTGTGTATTTAAACTAGCTCCAATAGTTTTAGTGTTTGTAATTCATTTGAAACCCAATATTGACTTCCAGTTTTTCATGCTTAAAGTTGGATTAGGCCATCCAAAGTGTTTTATGTGGTGTAAATGTGCAATCACTGTACTTATTCCAGTCTAATGCAATACTCTCAACTGTACTCTTGGTACAATTAGTATTTCAGCAACTTACTTGTGTAATTTAAGCTCCAGATGACTTTCTTTTGTAAAATTAGTCTTTGGAAGATAATTATGCATACTTTATTATCATTAGTTTTTCATTATCTGTTAGTGGTATGCCATTTCACTTTAAGGAAGAAGGAAGTATCATATAATAAAAAAAAATTTTTAGCAGCAAATTCGGGAAATTTCTTAATCTTGTCATTAATTCTTGCTGTTTCTTAATTTAAAGGTCTATCACTTAGCAATTTGCTTATTGGAGGCTCATATTCTGGTTTCATTTCATGAAAAAATTCAATAAAAAATGGATTCTTAATAATTGAGAACAGAATACCATAACATATAAATACGTGCACAAGAGCACAAATAATAGAAGCCTTTTTTTGAGAATTTATGTTTATAATTGACTTAAACTAATCAGTTAACTCCCACTGATTCACCTGAGTTTTTCTTTTATTATTACTTTCTGGTGAAGAAAAAGTATCTTCCCTTTCAAAATCTCATGCAGAAACTACCACAGGTTGAAAAGTGAAAAATCAGGTATTAATCAGTTACCAATCGGTCATCAATCAGGTAGCTGATTGGTAACTGATTAGTGATGATTAGCATTTTTGCCAAATACCATTACTAATCAGGCTAGAGCTCCGAACAGGTCAGCCAAATTCAGGTAACCTGACCTGACCTGACCTGAAATTCAGGTCAGGTATGAGATTTTTTAAAAAAATTCAGGTCAGGTATAAAGATTGACCTGACCTGATTGACC